CTCTGGGCCCACATGATTCTGTGACCACTTTCTCCCCTAACCTGGCTTGCAACAGTCAACCACAGCTAGGCTATCAGCTGAGCTGAAGGGTGGCCAAAAAGGAGCCCAAGCTAGAAGCCAAGTGAAAGTGAAACAAACAAACAAACAAACAAACAAACAGGATAAATCTGAGCCACCTCTGTAGGCCTGTGAATGAATTATTTAAAAGGTGAAATGATATGCTGGTTGTGTATTTTTTGTAACAAGCAGAAGATAACGGGATACTGAATCACAAGATGCTGCTGCTGTTTTATGTGTCAGCGTATCTAACACTCTATGGACCGAGCTGGTTTTAGTTCCTACAACATAAAGCATACTAAATGGCAATTTGAAGTCTAAGTCATCTGTTTACTATGTCTTGAGAATTTTAAATTATTTCTAGTACCTTTATCTTAACAGATTTTTAGTTGCCTTAAAAATCACTCCTTGGATTGGCGTGGTGATTCACACCCTTAATCCCAGCATGGAGAGGGCGGAGGAAGGAGGATCTCTGGGAGTCTGTGGCTAGTCCGGTCTACATAGTGAGTTCCAGGCCCTTGGTCACTGCCCTATCAAAACAGTGTGCCCTCTGTCACACCTCTAGTTGTCATAGTCCATGTTTTCTAACAATCTATGTATCTCACCTAGCCTGACATCTGTTATGTAATCCAGATGTTTAGAAGATGAGCTCAGTGAGTGGCCAGGGAAAACAAGTTCAGCCCTAACCGGCCTCTGGGAATAAACTGCTGTACTTCAACTGGATTTTAGTTCTTGCTCAATGTAATTACTGAAATCTTAACTAAAGCTGTCAGACAAAGGGGGGAAAAGGGACACAGTGGAAAAGGAAGAGGCCAAATACCCCATTTATATACAACACCATACGATAAAGACCTCGAAACACCATCTGAGAACTCTGAGATCTGTAAAATACTCTATGAAAAGTACCAGCAGCTTTTCTACATACCAGTAACAAACCAACCTGCTGAGGGAAAGACCAAAACAACACCTCCCCCGCAAAAGAGGGTTGGGAAGCTCATTTATAACAGCTTAAAAAACAATGTAACCAGAGAGCCTCTGCAATGTAAACTTCAAGAAAAGACAGAGGGGCTGACTAGAGAGAGGTCTCTGATGCCCCAGAGTGCTTGCTGTTGGTGCAGAGGGCCCAAGTAAGGTTCTCAGCATCCATAATTCCACCTTTGGGGAATCCAACAGACACTGTATCATTAATTATGAAACTGTACAAGACTGGGGCCTTCAGTGTCCTATTGAGTCATAAAGGTCCACTCATCCCTGAGGATCTAAAGGTAGTGGATGATTGGTTGGGTAAGCAAGAAATATTTTCTTCCATGGTACAGCCACTGCCCATGCTCCTATAGATAATAAAACTAATTTCTCCTGTACATAATCCTAATGAAACTTAATGAATCACATACACATCATCAGGTGTAGAAGAAACAAAGAATAGGTAGATGAATATAATCAAAATATACATGCATGAAAATATCGTAACAAGCCCATTATGTATACTTAATACATGGTAATAGAAAAATTGAAGCTGGACGGATGGTACTGGTTGCTCTTCAAGAGGACCAATGTTCAATTTCCAGCACCTACATGGTAGTCCACAACATCCTAAACTCCAGACCCAGGGGATCTCACACCTACTTCTGACCTGGTTACCAGGTTCACATGTAGCACACAGACATTAAGAACACTCATACAAATTTAAAAAAAAATTAAACAGCTAAGTATGGTAGTATACAACTTTGATTCCTGCACTCAGGAGACAGAAGTAGGCAGATCTCCATAAGCTAGAGGTTACCCTGGTCTACATAGTAAAATCCTATCTAAGAAAAAAAAATATGACTCCATTTTAAACATTGTAGAACGGCTACAATCATGGTAACAATTCACAAGCATTGGCAATATGTGGGAGTGTCCATCCTTTTGAATGTTCCTGCTCAAGAGCCCCAAAATTCAAGTTAAAAAGAAATTTTCAAAAAGTCTCATGCTGTTTTAGTAGCTCTCCCTCTGCATCTGGGCTGCATTCATGGTTACAGTTATGTAGCTAGGGAGCTGCAAGTTTGTTCTACATAGGTGCTCAAAGCCAGAGCTGATTCTGTTCAATGCTACTGTCAGGCTACTAACGCATGCATACCAAACACAACAAAATACTCAGATAATGCTTACTCTTCTCACTCTCTTTAATTCTTATTCAGGCCTGAAAGATAGGGGCTTATTCCTTCCACAAGACCAACAAATAAGTTCCTGAGATACCATGTAACCTGGCTGGGTTAGAGAAGTAATGAGCACTTAAATTTGAGATTTCTAACAAATGAACGTCAGTGCTCACGTCTGCTGGTCATACCTTTCTGCTTCCATCCTACAAACCCACCTCAGCTCTTCTGTAGTTAAGGGCACCCCTTCACACTTTCATTAGAATCAAAAACCAATACATTTTTCTGTTGTTCTGAAGGTATAAGCAGGGAAAGCTTCTGCCCTCTATACCTCCTGCTGGGGTAATGCATAGGAAGGCACTTCAACAACCCATGTGCACACAGCTCCTCGTCCTGAAGCTGATGCGTGTGTGAAGTACTCGGAAAGACAGTAGTGTCTTTGTTCATGTTCTCCTGCCTCTTCACAGGTCTTCCCTTATTCACGACATCCTTACACAAAACCACCTTCTTTCTCTTTAGATTCCGTCGGGAGGTGGGGCTGGGCCTTGAGAGAATGACGGGTCAGCACTGCCGGGCGTTGTGTTGGCGGGATGTCAAAGCGGGGGTTAAAAGTGGAGACTGAACTACTTCTGGTCTGGGCATCAATGGCCCAGAATATGTTAAAAGCTTACACCGGGGCTAGCTAGGCTCAGTCAGTAAAGACAACTGGCACTAACCTGAGTCTGATTCCTGGATCCACATGACAGGAAAGAAGTGACCCCTACAAGCCATCCTATGATTCCTGCTGGCTTGTTGTGGCACTCTCCTACCCTACATAAATAAAATCTTTTTATTTTTTAATTGGCAAAGCAATATGTTTTCTTGGGCCAATGACACAGCTCTGGGTAAAGGTACTTGCTGCCTAGCCTGACCATCTGTGTTTGATCCCTGGACCCACATGATAAAGAAAACTTACTCCAGCAACTTGTCCTCTCACTTTCTATCGCATGCTTTGTAAAACATCTGTATCCTTAGACACATAAATGAATATAAAACAAACAAACATAAACAAAACTGTATCACTACATGAAGCCTAATATACTTTCAGTATAGAGAACGGAGCTAGAGAGATGGCTCAGCAGCTAAGAACACCCACATGATGGCTCACAGCTGTTTGTAACTCCAGTCCCAAGGGAATTTGATGCCCTCTGCTGGTGTCTGAGGCACTGCACGAACAGTGTGCACCTACATATATAAAAAAATAAGTACAATGTTAAGAGAAAATGTGTAAGAAAGGCTGAACAGGAAGTTAAGCACACGATGCCAGCTGGAGACACAGGACTACCATCACAGGAACTCCAACTGTTAGAGCAGAGGGCTGCTAGCCAGTCTAGGTTACAAGTAAAGGTAAAAAGAAAGCTCAGCTGAGCTACAGAACACTTGTCTAACACGTGAAGCCCCAGGTTCACCCTCTGCTGTGAACAACAGCAGAACAGTATCTCCGAACAGCAACTGACTCGCTGCAGAAGTGACTCCAGAGCAAGGCTGCGGGAGAGTCCAACTGGCCAGGGCATTTGACTCAGTGGGCAGCTTAGGAAAAAGCAGATTCCTAGGCCCTTGAGAAAATACTGGCACAGAAAGTACAGGACAGATTAGGAATTGCTATGTTTAAATTCAGAAGATGCACTGTCTGATTAGATCAGTTTGGAAACCTTACAGATTTAAAAGCAAGCTGTAACCCTGAATTTTCACCTCTATCCTCAGAGAGATCTATTTATCTACACTAACCCAAATTATGTAATCCTGTCTTCCATTTTAGAATATTCTTCTAAAAACAATTTACTCCTAGCCAGGCTGGGCTTTGAAGCTGAAATATAAACACCCACAAAGCATTCTCAATAGCTTTAGAACATATCCGCCAAACACTGAGATAATTTAACTACATGTTCCAAAGCATGCTTAGGTTAGAGACAACAGATAAATCTCCCCCGCTCTGGAATGGTTTGTTTGGAGCTGAAAGAAGTTTCAAGCCTTCTGCCATTTACTACCTATATGTTATAAGCTAGCACACTAGTATATAGTATGTTATATGCTCATGCATTCTCTGGGAAGGTTCCTAGCCCCTCAAACTCAAGGTTGCCATTTTTAAGAAGGGGGTGAAAAATACCTACCTTTCAGTACAATAATTAATTTACACAGACACACACACAGACACACACACACACGAGGAGCGTGCCATATGAGCACTTGATAGACTCTATGTAACTGAAGTAGAAAATCAATTCTATGCTGCTTCACAGTACTCCATATATTTATTTATTCTCTGGTATTTCTAATTTATAAATAAAATGAATGAAAGAATCAAATGGCACACACTGGAACCCTAGCATGGGGTAGGAGGGCTGCCTTGAGTCTGAGGTCTTCCTTTCTCAAAACAAAACAAATCGCACAGCCTGAACATTGGAGGTGTTCAGTGCATCACTCTCTTACAGGAAGCCAACAAGTCAAAACAGCGTTCCCATTTAGATGTGAATCAAATAGAAAGCCCATGAAGCCTGTTACTTTTATTGCTGAAGAGAGGCTACTTTGTCTGTGTTCCTTAGACTGTTCCTGGGTCTTCTGTTTAAACACACTTGACTCTTGTCAGGGATAGACAGTAAGGAGCACATGACAACTGACTGGGTCTTTTCCAACCAGGCTAACATACATAGTTTAGTGTGGGGTCAACAACTTGGCCACCCTAAATCATTCTAGCACCTGTCAACTATGTAGACAAATAACTTCTATATCTTGAACACAACCCTCCCATCCCAAACCCATACAAACCTTGGAGGGTGGAATCTTTGGTGAATGAGTCGTCCCCTCTCCAGCACTTATGACCTGTTTTTGAGGGGACACAGCTATCATGTGACCCCCCTTCACAGTCACATACTGAGGGAATGCTGACTGGTTGGCAGCTCCTGTTGTGGACACATGAGAAGCTTCTCCAGGTTCCTGTTTGATGATCACCTTGCAACAAACAATGACACTGAGTAAGTGTCCCATGGGGGAGGAGGAGGACCTACTATGAATACTTGAATCTAGTCTCTGCAGTATTAATGAAGCTTGGTATGTACAGAATGGCTCCATGAAAAAGGTAAATACTGCTTTAATAGAGTCCAAAAGATCTAGTGGGCCAAATAGTATTTCACTTAATCCCTGCTTCTGTCATTGTCAGAGACAGGGTAGGAAGGCAGCAAAGAGAGACGTTAGGCCATGACTTGTGAACTCCCATTTCCCTGGAGTCCTAGGTCATGGACAGCATTAAGTAAGTGGGAGCACATCTCAGAACTAAGGCCTATTAAAGAGTGGGAAAGACATGGGCAAGGCTGTGGCACACACTCACCTTTGTGAAAGCCCCGAGTCCTCCAGTAACAGCTTTTGGGCTTTGCACTTTAGGGTGACTACCAATTGGGCAAAGGGGTGGCATAGATGCAAATAAAGAATCCTCCTGCTGTGAGTAAAAACAGTTATTATATAACAGGCCAAAACAAATGATTTCAGATATTCTAGCCACTTAGTACACTTAATACAAACCTACCACATCCAGCAACAGAAAACACCAAAGACAAAATAAACAACCCACAGTGCTATGGCTTTCCAAGCTTCTATACAGTCACTGTAATTTCCTTTTTAAAAGCAAATGAAAAATGAGGTAAGTAATCCCATCTGAGCAGCAGTAATAACTCACTGTACAAGAAGCTGACACAGGAGGACTGTTAGTTCAAGTCTAGCCTGGACTAAACAGTGAGACCCTGCCTGGAAAAACCAGGAAATCAGTCATCTATGTCCTGATCAATGTTACAGTCCTGTAAGACAGGGTGTCAGGTAGACCAGGTTGGTCTCACTTTCTAGCTAAAGAAAACCTTGAGCTTCTGATCCTCCTGCTTCCACTTCCCAAGTGCTGGGGTTACATGGTTACAACCCTACACTTGTTTTTATGTGGCACTGGGGACTAAACCCAAGGCTTTGTGCGTGTTGGGCAAGTATTCTACCAGTGCTGTGTAGCAGTTTCCTGGAGATTGAAATGTTCCATCACCCAGGGAAGCTTCTTAAGATACAAGGTAAACAACTCAAAATAGCTGAGCAGACTCACTAGGGCCCTCCCTCTCAGAGCAATAAAGACTGATAAGAGTCTCTCTCAGACAATGCAAGAAAGACTGCAAGAAAGACTCTGAGACCAGACCAGCCAGGAAGAGGAGATACTAGCCAAGCTGCCTGACTAACACAGTCACTAGGAAAGGATACTCTAACCTACTGAGCTGACTGCAGGCTGTGTAGTGTGCTCCAGATTTCCTAGCTTCTGTGAGTATGGTTTTGTGAGTACAAAACCTATACTGGACTGGGCTTTGGTGATGCAGCTGTTTTTGAGCCATTTCTGCCCTTGTAAGCAACCCCTCATCCATACTTATGTAAGTAAGCTCAACAAAACTCATTGGTTTACCATGGTGGACTTTGATCTGTCGCTGGCTCCCTATCTGAGGTAAGTAGAAATGAGCAATGCATCTCCCCAGGAAGTCCTGTCACACAACACCAACTGATCTATAAGTCCATTTGTAATATTTGGTTCTTTATTGGTTCGCATGTGTAATCTTTCGCCATATGGTAAAGGATAGGGGTTGTATTTGGCTTTATATTCCTAAAGCACAGGCACTAAATAAATTATTCTAACAAATAATGGTGATGTCTTAGTGTGCGTGTTTCTTCTTATATATTCTCAACTTGCCTTGAAATATTCACTCAGTATCTGGAATACAGATAAATGCAAAATGAGTTTTACACTTGGAAAATAAATTTTCCAAAGAAAGAAAAAGGAGAAGAAAACAATGATCTAGGTTGTTTCCCTAGGTAATCCTGGATCTCCGGAGTCTGAGGCAGAAAGGTCTTGAGTTCCAGCCTAGACTACACAGTGAAAGCTTACCACAAAGCAAGCAAACAAACAAACAAACAAATTAAAACCGAGGTGGGAATAGAAAATGGAAAGCAACTGACGACTGTCTCTACTACAAAAGACAAGTCCAAATCTCAGAGATAGTGTGCTGTAATTGAACTTTAAAGGAAAGAATTAAAGACTACTACTTATCTACTCAATAAAATGTCATCAACAGATATTAAAAAATGGTAGAGGTGTGACTTTCAAGGGAGTTACTACCAAAAACCCCTCGTTTTGATCAGAGAACTACGATCGCTGTCAACTAAGTAAGAGGAAGGCTGAATGCCGGGCTGGGTACTCACTAAGACGTTTCCATTCTCAGATCCACACACACAGGAATCTACATCTGAAAGGCTTCCAGTTAAGACAGCCATCTTGAGTAAACATGAGCTAATCAGGGAAGTGTTTTTGCCAAATACTGAGCAGATTTTCATGAGTATGTGAAGAAGTCAGATCATTGTATGGAGAGGTCATATTCTGAACTATTCTCTACTTTGAAGAGATTAAGAATTACTTTTAAGTTAATTAACTAACTAAGGTTTATGTGTGCACCGGCAGAAAGCATGCTGCCAGACAAACATTTCTAGAGAATGTGCATGTGTCTGTGTGAGTCTGTACATGTGTGTGCAGTGCCTACAAAGCCTACAAGTGGCATTAGATCCTTTGAAGCTGCAGTTTCTGGTAGCTGTGAGCTGCTATGTAGCCTTTGGGACCTGAACTCAGGGCCTTTGTAAGAGCAGCAGGCACTCTGAACATCTGAACCATTTCTCCAGCTTCTAATGGAGTATTTTTAATAAAGCTGTACCCTCTTCAAAACTAAGTAAGGCTGCCTCTTCCCCATACCGAGCTTGCAAATTAATACTGGCTAATCACTTGAAAGATGTGCTGAACAGGGCAGTGGTGGCGCATGCCTTTAATCCCAGCACTTGGGAGGCAGAGGCAGGTGGATTTCTGAGTTCGAGGCTAGCCTGGTCTGCAGAGTGAGTTCCAGGACAGCCAGGGCTATACAGAGAAACGCTGTCTCGGGGGCGGGGGGAAGAAGATGTGCTGAGAACTGTCTTTTATACCAGGAAGAAAGTGAGTAAGGAAATGATCTTCAAGATCAAATGCTGTCGTTGGGTAGCACCTCTGATAAGCCTGCACACTGTAATAAAGCAGGTAGAGTTTACCTTCACAGTAGATGTTAAGAAACTACTTCCATGAATTTTAGGAATCGGGGACCCTGTTCCTTGGGAAGCCTGAGAGGCCACTGGAAGCTTGCTTGTAGGACTTCCTGATAAGCAAGACAGATATAAAAATTATGTATCAACAAAATAAAGTTTACAAGACATAATTTTAAATCATTTTCCCCCTTCTTTGTTTCCAATTATTTACTGTTCATTTCTAAGGTTTGAAAATTCAAAAGACGCACGCACGCACCTGTTTCCAAATGCTGCCTATGTTATCCCACAGCCATACAATGGCTTTCAAGGTAAAATAAAAATAACTTAATTATCAATAGTAAATAATAAATTGAGATCTAAAGAGATATTTCATACCTTATTTCACCTACCAACTTGCCTCTTCAGAGTTGTGGCTGATTCCTAAAATATGTAGCCACAAAGACAGCTCAGCATACCTAAATATGCTAGAAGCAGTACTTTTCAAGTGATTTCTACATGTAAACCACTCTAAAACTGCTAAGCTTAAAAACAAAACACCTATGTGGAAGCCCACTATATACAGTAATGTGTGAAGTGGGAAACAGCCTCATTACTTTAAAATCATTCACTTCATTTCATTTCTCTTTTGACTATTTCTCTTAACAAGGGAAGATTATACCTTAGGAACCTGTATATAAACATGGGTTAAATGAAAGAAATGGATACAATGTTAGTAAAAGAATATTAAAAACCAAGATCAAAACCAGAAACCCTGACATGGGCACCATACAGCTGTGCTGAACTACAGGGATGGTGTGGGGACTGCAGACAGGATTCTAAATCCTAAACACTCAACTTTCACCCACAGTAAATCTTCCTTAAGAAACAGTATGGGGTTCCATTTATATACACTTACTTATTATAGATGGAGGGTTCATGATAGGATCTTATCATTAATAAAAGACCAAATTCTTTAGATGACATGAATAATGCTTATCCATACCTGTACTTGGAGTGGAGGCTCCAATGCCCTGCCCAGGCTTATCTACAATAACATGAGGGTTGCTGACACCAGAACTGGCAGTGCCTTGCTTCAAATTAACTGGAGTGGAAGTTGGTGTTCGAGGCAATGGTGATGGACTTGGAGTTGATATTGGAGAACCTTTGTTAATTAAAGAAAGGAGAGAAACAAAATAAACACAGAATTTACGTAGGAAGATCCAAAGGCAAAGGTAATTAATGAGAAGAGAGAACAGGCCCAGCACTTCAGACACTGAGCAGGGGCTATACCAGTGTAGCTGACAGGTAGTCCAGTCTTACACTGTGCATTTGGATAACCAGGATCATTTCTTGACCAGGATCATCAAATTGAGCAACTGACTAGAAACAGATTCTGGGGCTGGAATGATAGCTCTGCAGTTAAGAGTACTTGACTTGTTGCTCATCTTTAGGATTTAGGTGTTCAATTTCCAGCACCCACATGGCAGCTCACAATTGTCTGTAGCTTCAGTTCCAGGGGATCTAAAGCCTTCTTCTGGTCTCTATGGGCACCGTTTATATGGGGTTCCTAGACATACATACAGGCAAAACACTCCTACACATAAAAATTTAAAAGGAAAAAGTTAAAAAAAAAAAAGAAACCTTTTTTTTTTTTTTTTTTTTTTTGGTTTTTTGAGACAGGGTTTCTCTGTGTAGCCCTGGCTGTCCTGGAACTCACTCTGTAGACCAGGCTGGCCTCGAACTCAGAAATCCGCCTGCCTCTGCCTCCCAAGTGCTGGGATTAAAGGCGCGCGCCATCACCGCCCGGCAAAAGAAACAATTCTAAGGCTAGTTGAGGTAGCAAATGCCTTGATCCCAGCACTCAGGAGGCAAAGGCAGGCAATCTAGTTGCCTTTAAAGCTAGCTTGCTCTACATATCGAGTCCTAGGCCAGCAGAGATACGCAATGAGACTATCTCTATATATATATTCTCTAGGCCCACTCTTAACCCTACTGAGAGTAAGCCTACACTTCTAACAAGATCCCCTGGCATGTACATTAGAAGTCTAAAAGTAGGCCAGGTGTGGTAACATACGCTTTTAATCCCAGCACTCAGGACTCCGAAGGATTTCTGTGAGCTGGAGGAAAGGAATCTTTGCATTCTCTTTTGCTGTCACTGACCAAAAGTCAGCTCAGATTGGAATTCTCTACTTTTTTCTGTTTTAGTCTTCCATTGTCTCTGACTGTTGTATGACTTTGATCTGTCCCTGTGTGTCTGTCCCTAAAACAGGCTCTTTCCTCTCTTTTATTGAACAGCACAGAATGTATCACAGGGAAAGAAATGAAGCATACTTATATAAATCTTTAAGCTTTGTAAGGGATGAAGTCACCAACTCCAAATGATCCCAACTGACTGAGATAACAAGCAAGACTCAGATCTTTTGTTTGGCATTTATGGTGAATATTCATTGTATGCTTTTAATCAGTATTTTGTTTTTGGTAAATGATCATAACAACATTCACACAAACAATACACTTACAACCACGCATGTACTGGGTCAGAGACATGAAGAACACATAATTTAAGATTACAGTTACATGCAGGTGGTGGTGGCACACATCTTTAAAATCAGCTCTTGGGAGGCAGAGGCAGACCAGATCTCTGTTGAGTTTGAGACCAGGCTGGTCTACAGAGCAAGTTCCAGGACAGCTAGGGCTACAGCTACATAGAGAAATCCTGTCTTGAAAAAAAAAAAACAAATAAATAAATAAATAAGTAAATGAGCTTAGGCTGTGAAATCTCACCAACAGGGCTACGTAAACAACATCAGTGGGAAGACCTGTCAGGGCCTCACCCTAAATGAAGAGCTATAGGCAAGTAAAACTGCCAAAAAAGTGCTTCCCCAGGCATGAGCACCCTAAATTTCTACCCAATCTCATGTGATGAATCCAAAACACACACACACAAGCAACGCTAAAGACTCAATAGTTTACACTTAATATAATCACATATATACACACACACAGACACACAACTTATGCACACAACAATTAAAAAATAAAAGGGCATGAACACATGGGAAGGGCTGGAGGGATAAGGAATAAGGTAAACATATTTTTATATTAAAAAAAACCCAAAAAGCAGTGTTTTATATTCACAATTTAGAACTACTGCATTTTGGTATGATAAATCTCTTAATACCGCAGGCTGGTATTTATAATACTGATAATACTGAATATTCAAAGAAAATCAGTTAAGTAAATAGCTAGATTGAGGAATTCTATTTCTGATTTGGAATATATTTAGAACAGGAAAATGTGAAATTTACTTACAATAGACAGAAATCTCTATCAAGACTATGTATGTCATAGGCAGAATCCCAAGCAATATTCACAAACTCTACTCATGTACAGCTACACACTTAATTACCTACCCCACCCCATTAAAGTTGTCCTCTGTAAATTTCTCTAAGCCTCAAATCAATTTATACGTTCAATCTCCTCCACTTCTAAAACAGGAAGGTTCAAATTTCTTAGCAGATTAAATTACAGGATTATTACCCTCTGTTGACTGTAAAGATTTGTATCATACTTTTGCTTAGCTATCCATGGACAGCAATAAATATTTCCATTTTCCTTCTTTTAAGATTTATACAGAGGGGCTGGAGACATAGCTCAGCAATTAAGAACACTGGTGGCTCTTACAGAAGACGCAGTTCCCAGCACCTATATGGTGGTTCACAATGACCTGCAACTTCAATTCCCAGGGAATAAATATCTTCTCCTGGCCTCTACAGGCATACACTTGATACACCAACATACAAGCAGCTAAAACATTCATACATATGAAATAAAATTATTAAGTGATCCCCCTGCTTAGACAACTGCCCCTTCCTGTCTTTCCTGAAGTACAGCCAACATAAGTATGTTCCCATTAGTTCTTTGGTTAACATGAATGTGAAATTGTCACAAGACAATGGCACTCAGCAAAAAGGAAGTTTCAGAATGACTGATCATAAGATCAACAATTTTCTAGCAATGGTTAGAGAAAAATAAAAGGCAATTCAATTCCACACCAACTCAACCCTTAGAAGGAAGTCAAAGACCTCTGTTTCTCTTCAAACTCAACTTTAATCTTAAAATATAGCAGAACAACAACTGGAATGAATACCTTGAGCCTCATTTCTTCACCCTATTCAGAAATTCTTTCCACATAAATGACTTGTGCTTTTCTTTGAGTCAGCTTTGCCTACCAACAGTGGTTAGCTGTCCTTTGATACACATGGCACTGTAGAAGCATCTGTCTGAACTGGGTATGGTGGCTCTCACCTGTAATCTCAGCATTTGCAAGGCTGAGTAAGCAGGAACACCCTGAGTTCCTGGCCAGCCTGTGCTACACGGTAATTTCCAGGCCAGTTTGATAGTCTGATATTTCCCCACCTAGTCAGTGCCACCCACATTATCTCCAGCACATGCTCTGCATACCTGAGACGATCTTACAGCTCATGGTGATGGGCTGAAAGGACTTGCCAGGTGACTCAGGATTAGGCATTTGACTTTGTGGCACAATTTTACAGCTCGATGCGATGGGCTGGAAGGCAGAATTGCCATGTGAACTGAAGGTGACCTTCTGTGCTGATGTCACTTTAGTGGGTGTTCTTTCCAACGAAGATGGTAAAGAATAAAATGTACTGTGTCTCTCAGCTTCAGCGCTGTCTGGGAATCCTGTTTGAAATGTAATGACAGATGATAAAATCAATTACTCTGAAGCACTTTCCAGCTATGGGAAATAAACAAAACTGTTACCACATTATTTAATATTAGTTCAAAACCTATTTAAAACAATTACCAGCATAAAATAATCTCTCTATTATATTACCCCTTGGATATTTTTGATAGAAAATAAACCCTGTGCTCAGACTCTTAACTTAGGTAAAACAATCAGGGATGTGATAGTTGACCTTTGTTTGTCAGCCTAAGGTCACTAAGACACACCTGTGTATCTGAGGGAATTTCCAGAGAAGTTTAACTGAAGAGAGATGCCCCACTCTGAATGTGAGTAGGAGCATTCCCCTGGTCGGTGACAAGTCATTAATAAGAGCTCCAGGAACACCATGGACCAACAGGGAGCTTACTGTCGTGATGAACTTGAACATGTGCTTCATAGGCCTTTGGGACCTGAGTTTAGGAGGAATGAGAAAGAGCTTGGATCTGCGGCTAGGAAAGCCCTAGGATGCTGTGATCAGAGTCTAACATAAAGACTGTTCTAGGGACTATAGAGGACCAGATTGCTGACAGGCATAAAGACTGTGTTCATGGGGCTTAAGAGGGGACTAAGGACTCTACTGAGAACTGGATTAGAAGCTGTTTTGTGTTGTGCTCCTGTAAGCAAACACACACACCAAAACTAAAACAAACCACTACCAACACTGGCTGCTTTCTATCCCCAGCCCTGGTAATTTGAGTGAGGTTAGATTTAAACTCTACACTAAGTTGACTGCAGAGGAAAGAGTAAGGTAGTGCAATACTCAGGCTGTCCCGAATGATCATTCACTGTGTGTACTGAGGTTCACAATGAGAACTCAAAGACAGAAAGTGTGCGTTTGGCGAGTTAAGGTGCATGAACTCAGGGTAAAGAGAACAGGTGCTCTCAAGCCATGTGAAGGAGGGTAACACCATGAAGGAATAACATCATACTTGCACCCAGATGACAGGAATATGACCTAGAATATGGGACTCCACCCATGGAGGGATAAAAGAAGCAAACTCACTGCAAAACCTGAAAAGACAACGCTTGTAGAAACCTGTTCAAGGCCACACAGGCTGCTGCAGCTATGGTCCAATGGTGTCAGGCTATATCTCAAACTGGCAGCAAAACCATGTAGTGTCCACATGGTGCTGATTTTAAAGCATGCAAATTTTAAAAAGTACAGGAGATGGAAACAGGACATAGGACATGGACAAGAAAGACTCAAGGTTGTTGGAGCCCAGATGACAGACATGGAACTATAGGATTTGGTTCAGTATTTCTTTGCGAGGCCTTTATTCCCTCCGTTTGGAATGAGAGTGTTCACTCTGTACCACTGACCACTGTATACTAGAAGTATATAGAACTTCTTTTTTGATTATACAAGGTCCAGTTAAGAGACTGCCTTGAGGCTTAGGAGGAGACTTTGAATTTGGGCTTTTGAGCAATGTTACAACTGTTAAAGCTTCGGAGATTAATGAGGCTAAAGAGATGCCTCAATGGTTAAGAGCATTTGCTACTCTCGCAGAGGACCAAACTTTGGGTCAATACCCACACTGGGCAGCTCACAACTGTTGGTAACTCCAGCTTCAAGGGATTTGACACTCTTCTGGCCTCAGTGGGCTCCTGCACACATTTAGTGCACACAAGCGATATACATACATCAAAATAAAACTAAAAACTCACAGCACTCGGGAGGCAGAGGAAGGCAGATCCTGTGAGTTCCAGGCCAGCCTGGTTGACTAAGAAAGTTCCAGGACAGCCAGAGCTGCACAAAGAAACCATGTCATAAAAACCCAAAATGAATTACTAAAAGAAAAAAAATACTTTGGGGACTCTTGAGAACTCGTGCATTTTTACTCTGAGATGAATATAAGCCTTTGAGGGATATATGGTAAGGGTTCAAAAATCTAGAGACGGCTCAGCAGTTAAGCGCACTTGTTCTCTTCACAACCCAGAGACAGCACCCAGCACTCACATCAGGTTCACAAACATCTGTAACTTCAGTTCCAGGGGGTCCGATACACTCTTCTGACCCCCATGGGAACCAAGCATACAGATGGTGCACATACATACATAGAACCAAACCACTCACATACATAAAATAAAATAAAATAAAATAAAATAAAATAAAATAAAATAAAATAAAATAATCTAAAATCAATGCATTTGTAAGTCAGGGTGACAGAGAGTAGACTTCTGATTGTTAGATTCTCATTGTCAACTTGACTAGTTTGGAGTCACTAGGATAAGTTCCTCTGAGGGAGTCTTTGAAGGAATTTTCAGACAGGTGTGTGTGTGTGTGTGTGTGTGTGTGTGTGTGTGTGTGTGTGTGAGTGTGTGTGTACATGCATGTGGTTGATGCAAGTACCTTCTTCAGTTGCTCTCACTGAACATGGAGTCACCAATTTGGCTGCACTGGCTGGCCAGTGAGCTCTAAGAGCCTACCTGTCTCTGGACCCCAGTGAAGGGTTACAGAGATATACTGCCTTACCTAGTCTTAATATTGACTGGGCATCTGAATTCAGGTTCTCATGCTTGCATGCAAAGCCCATTATAGCTGAGCCAGCTTCTCTACCCTCCTCAGGTTTATCTGAGCAGGTTACTCCTCCCAGGTATACCTGGGAATCAACTGCTTATATATAAAAACTTAAATAAACATTAATACATTTATATTCTTATTGAATGATAAAATATCATAAAATATGATAAAATGTTGATATTGAATGTTTTTTTTTTTTTTACAGAAGATTAAATATGTAACATTAAAGTCTCCTGTTCACACAATCATAACCTGAATCAGAAAGTTTTCAGCAGAGGATAAAAATGTAGGGGCTGGAGATGGCTTTGTTTTAAGAATACTTACTGGTTCACTGCCCCAGGAGGTTGCAACCCAGAAGCTGAGAGCCACTTAGAGGACCTGGGATTGATTCTCAGCCTCCACAAGATGGCTCACAACCATCTGGAACTCCAGCTCTAGGGGATCTGATGTCCTCTGGCTTCTGAGAGCACAGGGTGTGCATGTAGTGAACAGACATACAAACATCCAAAGCACTCATGGACATTAAACAAAATAAAATGTTTAAAAAGGATAAAAATTCAATGATTATTATAACCTTTCACCCTTCTAAAATATAGAAATTCAGCGTGTAAGTTTAGCTATTTTCATAGTAGAAGTGTATGCTAGAGGCAGCATGCCTATTTATGAAAACAAGTTTCCATTTATTCCGCGCAGCTGGAAGCAGAAGTCAGATATTCACACATGAGAATGCCCAGAGAGTGATCCTCTCAACATAGACCAGTTACCTTCTCCCACAGGGGCGGCAGATGCGGGCTCAGGGGACCGGGGCACTGGTGAAGCTTTCACTGGGGCTGGAATCGTCAGGGATGGAGGAGGGGCATCAGATACGTCTGATTCAGATGACTGAGGATAAACGTAGTCTTCACCAAGCGAATGCCGATGAAGCTCAACATCCACTACCTACACAGTTGCGGAACAAGTAGGCTCGTGAGTCCACAATCAGTGTGACAGAGGTCAAGCTCCGTCCTGAAAACAAGTGATTCTAACCACATTCCAACAGGCAACTGCAATGTACAGAAGGAGATTTTCATCATTCTACTTTAATGCATGGACACCTCGGTGGAGTCTCTGTCTTTCCATTTACTGCTCCTACTGCTTACAACACTGTTCCCCTGTGGCCACCTTCCTACCAGGACATGTCCAGCGTCACTTCTCAGGAAGACTTTCCCCAGCCACTGTGACTTAATATAAGCTCCCCATTCACCAGCCGCTCTTCTTCAGCACGCTTATTTGTAATTGAAATTGAAACTGTCTTATTTGCTTTTGTGTTTATTGTCTGTGCTGGTTACTTTCTGTTAACTTAATACAAGCTGGGGTCATCTGGGAAGAAAGAACCTCAACTGGGAAAATGCCTCCATCAGGGTAAACCTGTGGAGCACCTTTAATACTCGATGACAGAGGGCTCAGCCTACTATGGGCAGTGCTACTCCTGGGCTTGTAGTTCTGAGTTATATAAGAAAACAGGCTGAGTACACCATGAAGGACAAATTAGGAAGCAGTATACCACCATGGTTCCTGATTCCAAGTTTTTCTTGAGCTTCTGTCCTGACATTCCTCAGTGATGAGCTGTGACAGTGGCTCTCAACCTGTGATGGTGACCCCCTAGGGTGACTCAAATGACCCTTTCACGGGGGTTGCCTAAGCCATCTGAATAGCAGATATTTATGTTATGAGTCACAACAGTAGCAAAAGCAGAGGTACAAAGTAGCAATGAAAATAACTGTATGGTTGGTGACCACCACAACATGAGGGACTACATTAAAGGGTCGCAGCGTTAGGAAGGCTGAGAACCACTGAATTATGACTTAGGAGCTGTTAGATGAAATAAGTCCTTTCTCTCCAAGATGCTCTGGTCATGGCCTTTAGCATAGCAAAGAGACTGAGTCACTATCCTTCTGCTCAAAACCATCTAGAATAACTCCTTAAGAATAGAAATTATCTTAGTTATGTCTTTAGTCCTAGTATCCGACCAGTGAAAGCATACTGAAGGTACTTAATATCTTCTAGTATCATAAAGTTCACTGCTATAAACTGAAGATTTAGCTAGCTGGTTATGATGACTGCAGATATACAATAAGTACAAAAGCACGAGGGTAGAGAATAAAACTGGAAGCCTTGTATTTTCTGAGTTCCAAAGCTTATTACAAAGCATGAGTTATTAAACAGTATTTGAAACAATAAAACAGACAACTAGACCAATGGAATTAATTACAGGTATGCCAAGTTATCTTTAACCGAAGTGTCAATCACTCTGAAATAAAAAAGCCAGTCTTTTCAGTAAATGGAGCTAGGAAAACTGTGTATCCACATATAAACGAAGTTGGAACTTAAACAGTATAACAAAGTTAACCAAGTGCCTACACGTAAGAGCTCAAAATGAACCAAGGAGATAGCTCAGGGTAAAGGTCTTGCCACCAAGGCTGATGACCTGAGTCCCATCCTCCAAACCTAGAGTGGAAGGAGAGAATCAACTCCCAGAAGTGGTCCTCTGACTGCCACACAAGCCCTGAGCTAAAACAAGTTCTCAGAAGAAAATACAGAGGACGCCTTGACCCTCACTCACCATTCAGTTCTTGGCCAGTAAAAGAACAGGCAAAAATCCCACAACCTAGCATGAGAGAGACTCTGATTTGAAGGCTGGAGAAATGGCTCAGCAGATAAAAGCACTGATTATTCTTCCAGAAGACCTGGGTTCAATTCCTGTCATCCACATAGCAGCTCACAACCATCTGTAACTCCAGCCCTAAGGCAATACCTTTTTCTGACCTCCTCAGGCACTGGGTATGAAAGTGGTACACATGGACATATACAGACAAAATACTCATAAATATAATAAATCCTTTTGAAAAATTAAAACAAAAAGTGTTTTTTTTTCCCTTTAATTTCTTTTCTAACTTTATTTAGTTGTGTGCATGTGGAAGCCCGAGGACAATCTGCAAATACTAGTTCTCTCCTAGCCCCACATGTATTCTAGAGACCCAATTCAGATCATCAAGGTTAGTGGCCAGCATTTTTAACCTACTAAGCTATCTGACAGTCTATTAAAATGGGACATTTTCACGTATATGTAAACACACATATTCATGTATGTACACATAAGTTGCTCTGGTCATGGCCTTTAACATAACAATGGAAAAGAGACTGAATCATTATCCTAGGCAAAGGATTTGAACAGACATTTCCTGTAAGAAAATACTATCAATAAGCCCATAAAAATAATGCTTGATATCGCTAGTAATTTTAAAATGCCAACCACTTTACAACTATAATAGTGACTACCTGAAACTTAAAACCAGAAAAACAACAAGTACTAATAAAGATGTGGACAATCTAGACTCCATACTTGTGGTTGCAATATAAAATTCCATAAAAGATGCCATAGAAAATACTATGGTGTTTATTCAAAATACTGAAAATAGCATTATCGTAAGATGCAATTTCACTTCTGGGTATATGCCTAAATGAACTGAAAACAGAAACCAAAATGTTATGTGTAAGCCCCTATTCACAGCAACCATTATTACAACAGCCAAAAAGCAGATTCCATCCAAGTGTTCATGAACACATGAAAAACAAGCAACATGTGCACATACAGACAGCATATTTAGTCTTAAAAAGGAGGGATGGCAGGAGATGGCGCACTGGCTAGGCATCTGACTGCTCTTGCAGACCACTGGGGTTGATCACCAGCTCTCGCATGTTAGTTAACAACTGCAAGTAGACTAGCTGCAAGGGATCGGATGCCGTCTTCACACATGTGGCACACACGCATGAAGGTAAAGTACATATAAACACAAAATTAAAAAGCTTAAGGGGCTGGAAAGATAGCTCAGTGGTTAAGAACAGGACCCGAATTCAATTCCCAGGAATTCATCAGGTGGCTCACAACCACTTATAACTCCAGCTCCAGGGGACTGAATCTTCTGGCCTCTGTGGGAACCCATACACACATAGCACATATTCAGATACACACATATACAAGATTAAAAGTAAAGTAAGCCTTAAAAAAAAAGCACTTGCTTGGGAGGCAGAGGCAGGCGGATTTCCGAGTTCGAGGCCAGCCTGATCTACAGAGTGAGTTCCAGGACAGCCAGGGCTTCACAGAGAAACCCTGTCTCCAAAAACCAAAAACCAAAAACCAAAAAAAAAAAAAAAAAAAAAAAAAGCAAGCACTTGTTCTTTTTCGAAGGACCTTTGTTCAGGTCCCAGCATGCACATGGTAGCTCACAAGTATCTCTAATTTTAGCTCCAGCGGATCCAACACCCTCAATCTGGCTCCCAAGGACAACTAGACACACATGTCCTTGAGACATATATATGCACACAGGTAGAATGCTCATACAAATAAAACGTATAAAGGTAAATCTTAAAAAGGGGGGATGGACTCTAATGTCTCCTACAACATAGACCAACTCTGAAGATACTGCATACCATGCAGTAAGGCAGTTAAAGGAAGCCAAACGCTCTGTCCAATCATGGAAAGGAGGCAAGTCATACAGACAAAAGGGAAAGTAGTGGGGAACTTAGGAAGTATGGACTTGTAAGATGAAAACAGCTCAGGAGATGGCTGACATCACTGAACATACTTCATGTCACTGACTTACATGTTGGAAATGGATCAGATCCTAAAATTGTTGTCATATTTTAAACCACAACTAGAAAAAAAAAAAAAAAAGAAAGAAAAGGAAAGAAAAGAAAACATACTGGATTGGGTGGAGGAGAAAAATCAACTCAAGAAAACCAAACCAAACAAAAACACCCAATAGTCATCTGGTTGTTGTTAAATAAAAATAATAATCAGCTGGGGTAGTTACAAATCCCAGCACTCAAGAGGCTGAGGTAGGACGTTTGGATTTGAGGTGACCTAGGCTATGGGGTGTGACCCTATATTACACATGTGAACTGAGCACAGCATGCACACACACACACCCCCGCCCCCACACACTCCCATGAGCACAACACCTTCCCCCATACAGGGCTGAGCAATGGTACCTACCGTCTCTGCACCCAGGGTCTGTAGGCCAGTGTAGGTTCTATCCAGCTATTCAAAGATAAAGGGGAAACATTAGACTTCACTCTGATCATGAAACTGAGCACCTAATACCAGTTCACTGCAAGCTGATCCTCAATACTCTGGGGGAAATTTGAGTAAAGCCGAAAAGTAATCATAAAGTTATAAATTGTACACTTTAAAAGTCCATTCTAAAGGCAATCCAAAAATGAGGCTTCACATAGGTTTTCTGCAGCCTTAAATATAAAGAAAAAACCAGTCAAGACTGCTTCACTAAGCCACATCAGGTCGATTCGTACAGTACTAGGCGGCACTGAGATGAGCTGATAAAGCTGTGTAAAAATATTTCAAATGGCAGGCTACAGAAATACACATGCAATGCTAAGACGCAACTGCTCATAGTGTGTAGTTACACAGCAAGACGGAAAAATTATGAATCAAAATTTAAAAGGAAGAGCCAACATTAAATACTTGAAATACATTAGCACCACAGATTTATTTTTAAAGCAAGAAATATAAACTGAGGGAAGGAAACTAACAAGAGTTTACAATTACATTTAAATTCTTACTATTGCAGCATTTCAACTTATATCCCATGCTAAAAAAAAATAATTTTGATACCTTATCAGTAGAAACAATGTACAGTAAGACTAAAAGGAAAAACAGTAAGTAGGGCAAAAAAATAAAAATACACAAGACTAAGTGAGTCTGGGTAGAGCAGTAAGCATGGGTTCTAAGAGTCTAAGACTGCAACACAGGGAAGCTGTGCAGTAGCTCATACAGGAAGGCCATTCAGTCCGCCATACTTTGGTGCTCTGAAGATTAAAAGCAGTAACACAAGTAATGGTGGTGACAGATTTCAGATGTGGCTTCAGGGGGACACAGAGAAAGAAGTTTATTAGAAGAGTTACCAATGCCAAGGACAGAGAGAGAGCGGTATGGCTGCTTGTTATGGCTGCTCAAGCCCACACAATGACAGACAGCACAGGGCCTATATGATGACAGCCTCTTCTTGTATCTTCCTGAGAATGGAGGCAGCTTCACAGCACAAGCCTGTAACCAGGTTCTCTGATTCCAGGATGGGAGGCAGGGAGGTGGGACAGGGACACGATGTACAGTCACTAATACCTGCTTTGGAGTGGGTACTTTTCCAGGTGAGAGATCCTGGCATTTTTCCAGCTAGAGTTAGTGTTTAGTAGGGTGCATATGGGTATCTGTGGCAGGGGAAGGGTACTGCAGGTTCTGTGGCCTGAGCAGTGAGTCTGCGTTGTCTGGATCCTGAGATCTAAAGGTTTACCATTTAAGCTCTTAGCCAAGACGACAGCTGCTCAAAAGACAGGGGCAGCTGTGGGTTATATCCACGCTTCTATCTAGCCTCTAAAGATAGAAATAAATATCTCTATAACCTGTCTAGTCTCCATGGGCACCTACGCAGACAGAGTTAAAAATAGTAAATTCTTTTAAAAATGTACTTTACTATAATTTTAAAATACTGTCTTATAAGACTAGGTGTGGTGGTACAAACCTTTAATGCCAGTAGTAGGTAGTGGTAGACAGATCTCTTCTCTCTGAGTTATAGGCCAGTTTGATCTACATAGTGAGAACCTATCTCAAACATGAACATACCAAACAACCAAAAAACTGTGTCTCAAATAATCTTCCACTGAGAACCAGAAAAAAAAACATAACAAGTAAGAACTCTGTAAATATGCCCCTTAGTTGATGAATTAGGGCTAGGTCCACTGCCAAATAAAATGGTATGCAGTGAACAAAGGAAAGCAATAACTGGGGCTGGAGAACTGGCTCAATGGTTAAGAGTACTGAGCTATTATTGTAGAAACTTGGCTTCTGTTCCCCACACCCACATGGCAGCTTGCAACTCTCTGTAATTCCACTTTCAGGAGATCTGATGCCCTTTACTGGTCTCTGTGGCCACTAGGCAAGCATGCTGTACACATACATACATGCAGACAAAACACTCATATGTAAGAAATAAAATTATGTTTGTTTTTAAAAACCAAAAACTATTCAAGACCTTTCCTGCAAGAAATGGTAAGGGGCAGCACCTGCCCTTCTGATCAAAGCCCCCCTCAAGCTTTAAAGCTGCGTTCCATTCCTCCCTAATCCCATGAAAACGTAAGCTGGAGAAACAGACAGTGCTTGCTGTCTATCATCAACAGAAGAAAAATCCCAATGTCTAGGACCGAAATAGAGACATTTGTACAACAAAGGTAATTCAGATACATTCAACTTTATTTAGTTCAATTTTGGGGAGCTCAAATGATAACCACAAAAGAAGGGTGACCTGGGAAAAGCACACTGCTGGATTAAATCACATATAAATGACACAACTTATTGCCTCTACTACAAAGAATCCAAGAAGAACTTTGAGAATGATGGTCTTCCAATGATAATATTTACATGTATTTATTATGTAATTGCAAAAAAAAATTAAAAATAAATACAAAACACAAAGCAAACAAAAAGGAGCAGAAAAACTGGCCGCAATATTATTATTTCAATTAATCCAACATTTTGGTATTGTTTTGGTTTTTTTTTAACCTTTAGAAAATCATGGATCACTTTTTTATACACGGTTCCGAGAATTTCTAATATATGCTAGTCAAGTGCTCTCTCACTCCTATGCTACATCAGAACTCTCAAAACTGTTTTATTTTATTTTTTTTATTAGTGCTGGGGATGGAATCTAGTGTCTTACTCATTGAACATAAGACTTGTACATGCTCAGACTCTTTTGCATGCAGTGCCAATGCTCTGCCTTCATATACTATAGCACTAATTATATATGCTATATATATATATAAATATGTTTAATAGATATGAATTATAACGGCTCTACAATAAACTTCATGGGTAGTAGGACCAATGAAGGATCTCGATTTAAACTATTACAAGTTTATGCATTGTTGCCCAAACATGTTCACTTACCTTAATTTTCATGTGTGTATTTTGTGTGATGCTTGTACGTGAAGTAGTAGGGACTGAACAACACAAAGTATTTACCTCACATACTAGAAAATTAATTTACTTAATCTTCTAGTAACAGGCTGAAGTAACAGGGTCTCGAGCAACATATTAATGGTTGTTTGATAAAGAATTGAATCTTTTCTTTACTTGGAGTTAGTTCACCTTTTTGAAGAGCATACAGTGTCAAGTAGCTGCCTCCCAGCTTTGAGGAGAAGACAGCTGCAGCAGTAAGCATCATATGCTCAAAGGACTATCCTGCTCCCACCATCTGAAGTCATGATCCTTGAGATCAAACAGGTAATGCAAACAGACACTGTGTTTCTAAGGAACAATGCCCTGCTACAGTACCTTCAGATTGTGTATGATATCTATCCGCTTGTTCTGGCTGTCCTTAAAGTGAACTTGCACTCTGACAGGAAACTCACCCCAGCCTCTTCTAGTCAGATGAAAGGGTGGCTCTCTAGGGAAAAGCAAAAATTTTACACATTCACCTGTGTTTATACTCTCATTCTAAAAGTTTTCCTAAGAGAAATTCACATCTTCCCAAAAACCAATTAGGTTTCTTCATGAGATGCTAAATCATGTTGAGTTACACACACACACACACACACACACACACACACACACACAGCTAATAAAATTGTAACTCAAATCTACATAAAACTTTTTATTACTAAATGGTTATGGGTAAGAGGTACAAACTGTATAATCCAAAGTCATTTCTTAAATAGAACTAGTGTGAAAATGTGACACTACAGTGTTAGAAACTGACTGACACCTGAGAGGCACAAGATGCAAGATGTACATCCCAAACCAAAATAAATCATAATCATGTTCGATATAAAAGTGGTAACTGAGTTGGTATTATCTGCTAAAAGGACTTCATAAAAAGAGGGCAAGCTGTTTACAGTATCATCTTCTCTACACAGGGGCTGAATCTTAGAGTGAAGAGTGTATATTTGAATGCTAAGGGACTAAAGACTATTCAGTCACGATATAATTTATGAGGAAAAAGAAGGGAAATGAATGAATGACAGGAAAAGTGTTACAAATCCATCTGGCACATGGAAGTTCATTATAATCTTTGCTTTTGTGTACATGTGAAATTTTCCATAATAAAAAAATTTAGAAATTTAATTGAGATTTTGAAGTATTTCAGGTTTGTAAATGGAAAACACCTATGAATCTCTGAGTCAGAATTACTGTAATTAGATGCTAAGATTGGGAGGGAAGGCATTCTGTGGCATAAGCTTTTGGAAAACTAAGACATGAATTGAGTTAAATCAAGAGTCTCAGAACACAACAGAACCTGAGAGGAGCCTAACAGACAAGAACTAACAAGTAGATCCAGAAACAAGCATCTGAGACAGAAGTCCTGAATTCAAGAGCAGCCTGGAAAGCAGAGAAAATAACCACAGTAAGTACAGTGAGATCAGTCTTCTACATCTGAGCCAGAGTGACTCCACTTTGTAGCAAGTTAGTATATACCTGCTCCATGTGCCAGACTACAACAAAGCCAGCCATCCCCCAGGCTCCATGTGTTTGCCAAGAACAGCAGAATCTCTAAGGACAAGAATGGAGTACATGTAGACAACTTTCTGAGTCTGGTTTTGTGTCTGCCTTACATTTGTTCTCTCCACCTCCATGGCTTTAAAACCAGAGGCACTACAGGCTTACATCCATTCTGTTGAAACTTATCAGTGACCAGGAAAAAAACCCAAGGCAGTGGCCAACCAGTCTTTCAGTTACTTGTATGATTCAGGCTGCACTACTCATTGAAGGTTTCAGCTGGGCATGGCTCATGTCAATGAAGCAGTGGGGAGGCCATGGCAGAGGAGTTCGATGCCAGCTAGGTCTATTTGCTTCATGAAAGCTGTAGATTTCGAGTCACAACGAATAAATAAATCATTCCTCTACATGGAAGGGCTTCAAAGAACTAAAACGCTTTTCCAAATTCTTCCTAGGATGAACACTTCTGATTCCCATGATTGTGACAGCGGCAAACATTCAGAGTTATTTCCTTAATACAAACACTGTTCTAAACCTTTTGGATCTACTAACTTGGCCAATGTTCACAACTTCATGAAGCACCATCCTCAGGCACAGTTCAACAGCATAATTAATCTGCAAGGTCACACAGTAAGCACGCAGTCAAACCTCGATTCAAACTCAAGCCCCAGGCTACAAAGGCCATGCTCTCACCACCGTGCTAGTTCAAGTGCCCATGGTGGCAGATCTCCTCACTAGCCAGTCCTACTCTGGATGCACAATACGTAAGCTACTGTCAGACTGGTGTCACACTAGCCCACTTTAGTCTCATATGCATTGAGCCTATGGATAGTCCATTAAACTCCCCAAATGAAGGGACCAGGCATTCATTTTTGCAATCTCCACAAAAAGCCTGGCGTCTAACACACTCAGTGACTCCCTTAACAAAGCTCACTCTCAGAGCTCTCAGGAAGCTGGACAGAGGTAGCCATGACAAGTGAGCCAAGTAAGAAAACTACGGCTTCCCCAGAAGAGACTCGTGCTCTTCATTCATCAGGTAATGTGATAAGAACTGCTGATCATGAGAAACACATCTGGGCTCTGACTAAAAGAATTTAACTGGTGTTCCTCAGCAGCTATATCAAATTACATCAAATCAGTGTAAATACAATTAATTCTGACACCAGGTACAAGCAAACTTTGAAGTCCTATAGAGAAGATTCTAAGTTACAACTAAAGCCAAGACATGGGCTAAGTTTATTGTCTTACTTTACACAGTACCAAGTCTGGAATGTTAAGTCTCATATTTTAAGAGGAATACAGCTCAGCTGGAGTATGTCAGGGACTATAGACTAGTAATAGGGAACACAATACACTTACATACATGACATCTGAAATAAAGACAACAGAATAGACTTAAGAGCCTCTTTCAAATATTTGAAATCTACTAGAAAAGAAGCATTATGATTATTTCTGGCACCAAGGCACAGACAGATTTTCTTTTCAGCAGTCAGAAACGCACCTGGAATCCCAGCACGTAGGAGGCTACGACAAGAGGACTGCCCACATGAGAGGCCAAAGTGCTCTACGTAGTAAGTTCCACAACAGACAGGGCTACATAGCAAGGCCCTGTCTCAATCCCTACCCCCTGAAAAAAGAACTCACAGAAATTTAAGCCTCTGCTCAGTATAATTTAAAGCTTACCAGCAAGCAGAGTTACCTCCTATGAAACTGACCACCTGACGATCTAAGTAAATCATTCTGCATCAAACATGCAATGGGTATTTACTAGTTCTAGGAACCATGTTAGACCTTGGGGATGCTACTATTAGTAAGAGATCACAAACGTCAAAAAGTGAAAAGCCAAGACTGGGTGTGGAGGCACTCCCTTAAGGCAGAGGCAGAGGGACAGAGGGATAAAGGCAGAGGCAGAGTTCTAGGCCAGTTATGGTTATGAAGTGAGTCTATTATCTCAAAAAAGACTTCAAAACCAAAAATCAGGGTCAGATGAGGCTCTGTGGGTAGAGTGCCTTTCAGCATACATGAAACTCTGGCCTTGATGACATGGACACCCCCCCCCCAAATACATGCATGCACATACTGCCTGTCATACCAGCAGTTGGGAGAGAGAAGCAAGAGTATCATAATACCACAGCTTAAAAACTAGAAAAGAAAGGAAGGAAGGAAGCTCAAAGTCTAATACGGGAGATACATGCAAATTATTTAGTATATTAAAAAACTTGCCTAAAAACAGAGTGCTCCAGCTATTTCACTTTTGAGAAAGGGACTCACTATGGATTTCTAGCTGTTCTAGAATCTACTACATATACCAGGCTGGCCTTGAACACGACCTGCCTCTGCATCTGAGTGCTGGGGTGAAAGATGTGCACCACACATCTGGCAGTTTCTGCAATTGTAAGTAGCAGAAGCATACAGTCAAGAAAACTATGATTCGAGCTTGACACTCAGGTTCATTCCTCAGGACCCACATGGAATGTCAAGTTTACATATGTATCTCTCTGTGCGTGTGCGTGTACATGTGTGTCTGTAGATCAGATGTCAACCTCTGGTGTATGCCTCAGGAGCCATTCAATATTTTAAAATGCTTTTTTAAAAGCTTGTATTTGTGCATGTCTGTAAAAGAAACAATTCAAAACATAAAGAAGGGCAGGCCTATAAAGACACAAGAAGCTTATAGAACACTAAATAGACTGAACCAGAAAACAAAGTCCCCTTGCCACATAATAGAGAAGACAATAGACATACAAAACAAAGAAAGAACATTAAAGGGAAAGGAGTAAGTAACATAAAAAATCACACCAATAGACACTCTAAAAGCCAGAAGGGCCTTGACAGATGTCCTACAGACTCTAAGAGACCAGATACCAGCCCAGACTAGTATATCCAGTAAAATTTTTAATCGCCCTAGATGGAGAAAAGATATTCTATGATAAAGTCAAATTCATAAGCAATATCTATCTATAGATCCAGCCCTGGAAAAAGTACGAGGAGGAAAATTCTAACCCATGGAAACATAAAAAATAATCTCACACCAACAACACCTGAAGAAGAAAACCACATGGAGCTCCCCACACCCCCTATACCCCTCACTCTCTCACCTGCACACAACCTGCCTGCCTACACTCTCACACACATACTAAGAAAAACAAAATAACAGGAATTAACAATCATTGGTCACTGATACTTCTCAATTATCAATGGACTCAATTCCCCAATACAAAGACACAGGCTAACAAAATGGATGTAGAAACAGGATTGATCCTTCTGCTGCATGCAAGAAACACACTTCAATATCAAAGAAAGGCATTAACTAAGAGTAAAGGGTTGGAAAAAGGTTTTCCAAGAAAATAGACCCAAGAAATAAGCTGATGTAGCCATTCCAATATCTAACAAAACAGACGTCAAAGTAAAATTAATCAAAAGAGACTGAAAGAATAGTTAGTACTCAACAAAGGAAAAATCCAACAAGATGATGTTTCAATTCTTAACATCTGTGCTCCAAATAGAGGAGCACCCATCTTTGCAAAAGAAACATTATTAAAGCTTAAATCATACATTGACCCTCACATTTTTATAGTGGGAGATTTTTGGTATCATACTCACCATGGAGAGGTCATCCAGTCAAAACTTAAATAGAAACAATGGAGCCAACAGACGTTTTAAACCAAATGGACAACATACATTTACAGAACATTTCACATTTCACCCAAAATTAAAAAAAAAAAAAAAAAAATGTGTCGTCTTCTCAGCACCTCATGGAACTTTCTCTAAAATTGACCACATACTCGGTCACAAAGCAAGCCTCAACAGTCACAAGAAAATTGAAATAACCCTCTGTATCCTATCAGACCACCATGGATTAAATGTGGATTTTAACAACAGAAAAACCAGAAATCTTACACAGTCATGGTAACTGAACGACTTATTCATGGAACTGAACAACCCTCTACTCAGTGACCACTGGTCAAAGAAGAAATAAAGGAAGAAATCAAAGACTTTCTAGAATTCAATGAAAATAAAGACAAAACATATCTAACCTTATGGGACACAATGAAAGTAGTGCTAAGAGGAAAGTTCATAGCACTAAGTGCCTACACTAAAAAAAAAAATTTGGAAAAAATCTTATAGTAGCAACTTCGCAGCATACTTGGAAAGGCCTAGAACAGAAAGAAATGAGCACATTCAAGAGGAAGACCAAACTCAGGACTGAGATCAATAAAATAGAAACAATTGTGAGCAATACAAAGAACCGATGAAACAAAGAGTTGGTTATTTGAGAAAAACTAACAAGATAGACAAACCTTTATCCAAACTAACTAAAAGGCAGAGAGAGAATATCTAAGTTAACAAAATCAAAAACAAAAATGGGTACATAATAACAGATTCTGAGGAAAACCAAAGAATCAGTAAGCCATACTCCAGAAACCTATACTCGACAAAATTGAAAAAAATCTAAAAGAGATGGATATTCTTGATAAATACCAACACAAAGTTATAGTAAGATCAGATAAACACTCTAAATAGACCTATAACACCTAAGGAAACAGAGAAGCAGCCATCAAAAGTCTGACTGTTGCCTATATGTGAGATATACTCTACTAGCTGGACTGCCTTTTCTGTACTCAGTGGGAGAGGTAGCACCTAGCCTCACAGACTTGAGGTGTCAGGGTGAGGGGGATACCCAGGGGGAGAGGAAATATTTAGGAGAAGGGAGGGGGAAAGAGGAAGGATTGTGGGAAAGGGTGACCGGGAAAGGGCAGTGAGTGGGATCTAAAGTGAGTAAGTTTAAAAAACAAAAATTCAGTGAGCGTTAGGATATGAAATATTTCCATTATAAATATATTTTTGCATTTCCTTAAAAAAAAAAAAAAGTTTCCCAACCAAACAAAGGCCAGGGCCAGGTTGTTTTAGCACAGACCTCTACCAGACTTTAAAAGAGCTAATGCCAATACACCTCAAATTGTTCCATAAAATAGAAATGGAAGGAACACTGCCAAGTTCATTTTATGAGGCACAGTCATCCTGATATCCAAATCACAAAAGGATTCAACAAAGAAGAGAATTATATACTAATTTCCATTACGAACATGGATATAATACCAAATTAAAATATTTGTAAGCCAAATCTAAGAACTCATAAAAAAGACCATCCACCATGATCAAGTAGGCTTCATCCCTGAGATTTTCAATATATGGAAATCAGTCAATGTAATGCACCATATAAACAAGCTGAAAGAAAAAAAAACACATGACCATCTATCTCTTTAGATGATGCAAAATCCTTTGACAAAAATCCAACAACATTTCATGATAAAAGTGTTGGAGAGATTAGGGACAACAAGGGACACAGACAAACATAATAAGGCAATATGCCAACATCAACAAGGCAGTAAGGCAACATCAAATTAAATGGAGAAAAATTCAAAGCAATTCCATTATAATCAGGAACAAAACAAGGCTGTCCACTCTCTCCATAGCTATTCAATACAGTGCTTGAAGTTCTAGCTAAAGCAATATAACTAAGGGAGATCAAGAGGATACAAACCAGAAAATAAGTCAAAGTATCGTATCTTTATTCCCAGATGATATGATAGTACATAAGCCAGCCCAAAATTTCTATCAGAGAATTCCTACAGCTGATAAACACCTTCAGCAACGAGCCTAGGTATAAAATTAACCAAAAGAGGGGGACGGGAGAGAAAAACAGACTGAAAAATAAATTGGGAAAACAACACCCTTCACAATAGCCATGGATGATATAACATATCATGGGATAACTCTCACCAAGCCAGGTAATGATCTATGTGACAAGAACTTCAAGTCCCTGAAGAAAGAAATCAAAAAAGATCTCAGAAGATGGAAAGATCTCCCATGCTCTTGGATTGTTAGGATTAACATAGTAAAAATGTTCATCTTACCAAAAGCAATCTGCAGATTCAAAGCAATCCCCATCAAAATGTCAGCACTAGGGCTGGAGAGATGGCTCAGTGGTTAAGAGCACTGTCTGCTCTTCCAGAGGTCCTAAGTTCAATTCCCAGCAACCACATGGTGGCTCACAACCATCTGTAATGGGGATTCAATGCCTTCTTCTGGTGTGTCTGAAGACAGTGTACTCACATACAATAAATAAATAAGTAAATAAATAAATGTAAATAAAAGCATAAGTCTTTAAAAAAAATGTCAGCACTATTCTTTACAGATCTTGAATGGTCAATATTATACTTAGTTTGGAAAAAACAACAACAAAACAAAACAAAACAAAAAAAACCCCACAGTATAGCTAATATAATCCTGAACAATAATAATAGAACTTCTGGAGGTATAACCATCCCTGATTTCAAGCTGTACTAGAAAGTAATAAAAACTGCATGGCATTGACATAAAAAACAGACAGGTTGGTGGAATACCCAGACATATCCACACACCTATAGACACCTGATTTTTGATAAAGAAGCCAGAAACATACAATGAAAAAAGGAAACATCTTTGCCGAATGGTGCTGGTCTAATGGAATGTCTACGTGGAGAATGCTAACAGATTCTTATCTATCATCCTGCTCAAAACTCAAGTCCAAGTGTACCAAAGACCTCAACATAATACCAGATACCCTGAACCTGACAGAAGAGGAATTAGGGAATAGCCTTGAACAAACTGGTACAGGACATAACTTCCTGAACAGAACACCAACAGCTTGCACTGAGATCAACAATCAATAACCTCATCAAACTGAAAAGCTTCTGTAAGGCATAGGAGACCATCAATAGTACAAAAGGCCAGCCTTACAAATGGGGAAGATTTTCACCAACTCCATATCTAACAGAGAGCTAATATCCAAAATATATAAAGAACTCAAGAAACTAGTCATCAACAAACCAGATAACCCAATTTAAAAATGGGGTATAGAGCTAAAAAGAGATTTTTCAACAGAGGAATCCTGAATGGTGAGAATGTTCAACGTCCTTAGTCATCAGAGAAATGCAAATCAAACGAACCGTGACATTCCATCTTATACCCTTCAGAATGGCTAAGATACATTGCTGGTGGGAGTGCAAACTTGTACAACTGCTTTGGACATCAATTTGGCAGTCTCTTGGAAAGCTGGGAATACTTGTACACCAAGACCCAGCTATACGCCTCCTGAGCATACACCCCAAGGATGAGCGCGTTCTAGTGGAAAGAACAACACGAGTAACAAGGTTCTACAGCTGGTTTTCAAAGAGGCGTTCATAGGGGAGACTAATAGGTAATTACAGTGAAGGAGGAGGCAGGCAGCACGGGCTGCAACGCGGGACTGAGGTTAGGGGGTTTTGTTTTTGGAGACAGGGTTTCTTGCTGTAGTTCTGGCTGTCCTGGAACTAGCTCTCTGGATCAAGCTGGCCTCAAACTTACAGAGGTCCTCCTGGTTCTGCCTCTCAGTGCTACCATCCTGCTGAACTGAAGTGTTTTTAAGAAAGGAGAAAAGCTGGCTCATAAACCAGAGATATGAAAAGGACAACACTCTTTCCTAGATCCCAACACGCTGGGGTGGGGGTGGGAGGATATCTGTCACTTTAAGGACTTTGGCAGGGCCATAAATAGATTGTTCTGTGCCACACAGGGATATGGGAAATTTCACTGACAGTAACAATAAAGTACAAGATAGTAAGGGTGTTTGGAGCTGCTAACATCATATAGAAATGTAGAGAACACACCTAAATAACATAAATTTCACATAGGTACATATAACCATCCCATCTCACTGAAATAATTGTACTACTAGGTTAAGTCTGTGTACAGAATACCACTATGATTACATCTGAAACAGTGACATTATGGGGAACCGTAAACATTACTGTAATGTTAAAATGCTGTATTTAATTATTGGTAACAGCTTCTATGCACCAGTCCTTCAAAGGGTACCAACACAGCAGTGACAATATGACAGGAGGTGGCAGGGCCAGTTAGAAAAACTGCAGAGGAATACCACAACAAAAAGCTATCTAATGACAGAGAGTGGGCACTGAGCAACAAATTAACGGTATAAACATTCCTAAGGCACATTACAAAGTTATTCACTTTTCTCAAATTCAGTAAATCTTCAATGTGCTCACCTAACTTCCACAAGATCGTTTGGTTTATAGCTAGGATGAAGGAAGAACCAAACTTTCTTGACAAAGTGATTAATGCTGGGCTCTCTCCGTGACCCTCGGACATACACCATCCACTTATGGGTTGATTGGTCATTTTCTTCCCGCTTATCTGGAGGTATGTACCTGGAGAAGAAAGAGAGAGGTGAGTTTCTTCCTTCAAAAATCTAATCAATCATGCTGGTGAGATGGCTAAGTGGGGGAAGGTGCTTGCCACAAAATTCTGATAATCCGGATTCCAGATCCCACTTAGAATGATGTCCTGATCTCCACACACATGCCATAATGTACAAGTCCATGCATACAAAAATAATGGACATAAACACATAATAAAAATAAACTTAAAACCTCAAAACTAATAACTGAGGCTAGAGTAAATGTCTCAGCTGCTCTTCCAGAGGATCTGTGATTCCCAGTACCCATAGAACAGCTCACAACTGTCTATTAACTCCAGGTCCAAGGCATTCGATGCTCTCTTCTGACCTCTGTGGGCATACATGTGGTATTCATCAAGACAAAACACATATACACAACTAATAATAAAGATTCCAGCAGTAACTAACAGCAGTCACACTTGACCAGTCTCCAATCCTTACTTTTCCTAAAACCTCCATGCCTACTTAAGTCCCTTCAAGTTTGTTTTCTAATTATCAATCACAAATTAAAAGAATAATCAAACTTGGTTTCTTATTGAGTGGGTATCTGAAGTAGAAATAAACTGGGTATGACCATGGCACATGATGTCTCTTTATCCTTGGTGGGCTTTGCCTTTCGCCAATGAATGGGACACCCTTCTTAGATTCTGGTGAAAAACATGGCCATGGCCTCTGATGTGTTCATTAGGTCTCTGATTATCTTAGTCCCGCAAGGTACAAGATGTGCCACACCCTGTCCACACAATCATTGCCAGTCCCCGCACTTTTTCTGCAGGTCAGTTTTAACTTAGGGAGAAGTGGCATTTACAACAATTCTGAGCCTCCTTGACTGTTAGTCGACTGCTCTATTCCTTCTAATAAAGTATAAAAATTCTTCTTGAAAGGCTAGCCTGTCTTTTGTTTAATTTACTGAGAATGTTTTGAATGCTAATATAGATATCATTTTTAGCCGGGCGGTGGTGGCGCACGCCTTTAATCCCAGCACTTGGGAGGCAGAGGCAGGCGGATTTCTGAGTTCGAGGCCAGCCTGGTCTACAGAGTGAGTTCCAGGACAGCCAGGGCTACACAGAGAAACCCTGTCTCAAAAAACCAAAAAAAAAAAAAAAAAAAAAATCATTTTTAAATGTTAGCTAATATGTGCCTTTCAAATAAGAACTGAATTTTGTGTAATAATACCATATTCACTAATCTTATTAAACTTTCATTAATCCTAAAAATAATTAAAAAGTTGGTTTTAAGGGCTGGAGGATGGTTTGGCAGGTAAAGTGCTTGCCATGTAAGCTTCATGACCAGAGTTTAATCCCAGGAGGCCATGTAAAGGTGGATGAATGATTCCACAGGGTGTCTTCTGATGAACACACATACATCATACACACGTGTACACACAAACACAAGCACACATATACATACACACGCACACGCAGATATACACAAGCACCACAAAGACATGCTGGAGCGCATGTGTGCGCACGTGCGCGCGCGCGCGCGCGCACACACACACACACACACACACAGAGTTCTAAAAAATGTTTCCCCAAACTTAGACACTTGACAAAAAAAATATTTGTGCAATAAATCATATATCAGATATCATATATCAGTTTGCTAAGTACATTTTTACTCTGAGTCAAAGACTGGCAGACACATTAAGGTAAGGTCTCAGTTCTTATGGTTGGCTTTGTTCTGGCCATTGGATGCTTCCTACAGAGGCATAGAGAAGACAGCTGAGCATTTTCACACAGAGACAGATGTAAGCAAGTACAGCCATTTCTGTTCCCTATCAGCTTCTGGACAAATCTCAAAGATCACTATCGGTTCCTGGGCAGATTTTCAGATTTCTTTAGTCTGCGTAAGGAGGTTTATGTTTTATGGCTTGGGCTGAACAATTGGCTAAACAATTAACACAAACAAAAATACACCTTCAAATGCTCATCTCCAGAATACAGTTCCAGCAATAGGACCCAGCATAGGAAACTGAAACATCCAGTTTGTTTTCACAAATAGGCCAAAGAAGGTACAGAACTCTGGAATGCTATAATGATGGACACACAGAGACTGTTTTTGTCACTGCGGTAGTGACAGTTAGAACCCGATGATGATCTGAATTGGTTACATGTTAAGCACTGTCACAGTGCTGTCCTACTGTTTGTCCACAAAGAGGACCTTGTGAGATGAAGGGACGCTGTTCTGTAAAAGTGTCTTCACTGCTGCTAGAAGACTAGACAAAGCACAGCTGGTAACACTAGATAGAGAAGGACTGTCAGCTGTAGACTCCTTCAAGATCAGACCCAGGCAGTCTCTGAACACTCCACCAAGTATGAATCCAAGAAACATATATAAGGTTGACAGATGCACATCCAGGAATATTTTAGAACTTTCTACTTGCATTTATTGTCAGATTTATTCACTCATTCATTTACTCACTCACTGGGGGCACAGGTGAGAGGGACTGTATGCGGAGGTCAGAGGACGACCTCTGTACAGTAGTTCTCTCTGTCGATGTCTATGTGTGTTCCAGGGTGGAGCCCAGTTCACCAGACACACGTGGTAAGTGCTTCTACCCACCGAACCACCTTGGCAGCCCCCAAGCATGCCCCTCTTCCTTTTAATTTCAGCACAGGAGAAGTTGAAGTGTGTGATCTCTTTAAGTTTCAGGTTAGCCAGGGCTATATAATGAGACCCTGTCTCAAAACAAATCAAACAAACAAAATAACCCAAACTAAGCACACAGTAAAATTTTCAGTGTCACTATCAATAAAACAAAAACTGACTTCAAAGTATTTAGTGTTAAAATATTCATCAGGGAATCAAAAATTAGACCCTTTGTACTTGATGGTAAACATCAGTGATTTTTATGATTTATGATGGAAATCTCTTTGGCTTATCCTCTGGACTCACTAAAAACCTTAATACTGATTTTTTTGTTCATTTGATTGTTTTCTGTTAAGTTCTGAGATGGGGTCTCACTACGTAGCCCAAGCTGGCCTTGAAGTCATACAGAGGAAGAGAAGGAGGAGGAAGAGGAAGAGGAGGAAGAAAGGGAGAAGAGGAAAAAGAGGAGGAGAAAGACGAAGGAGAAAGAAGATGAAGAAAGAGGTGGAGGAAGAAGAGGAGAAAGAAGATGAAGAAGGAGGAAGAGGAGAAATCAAACCACAAAATGCTATCACACTTACATCACTAAATTGTACATATATAGGTATTTTGCTGCATGAATGTCATGTGCATCATGTGTGCAGTTCTTGCAGAGGACAGAAGAGGGTGTTGTACCCCCTGGAACTAGCTACAAACAGTTGTAAGCAGGCACACTGGGGCTGGGCACTGAACCTGGATCCCCCAGAAGAACATCCAGTGTTCTTAATCATTGAGCCACTTCTTCAGCCCTTAATTCTATTCCACAAAAGAAATTTTCCACAAAAGGAGTTTTCAGAAAAAAAGACATTGGTTTGTACTTTGATAGGGATAATGGCAGCTAAATATGAAATGTGGAGATTATGAAAGTGGAAGAAAACATGTCTTTAAAAGCCAGAGTAAACTGCAATGATAAAACCTTACTACCTTACTGGTTCGCAAATAACTGAATACCCAGGTACATCAGTGCATGCCTTTCCTGCCAGCACTCTGGAGCGAGCTGCAAGCACTTCTACAGAGTTCTAGACCAGTGGGACCCTGCTCAAAAACAAAACAAAGCAAACAAAATACAAATAATAATAATAAATCAAATACCTAAATTTCACATGAAAGTGTAAGCAGCAACAGGGAATAGTGGTGTATCTGAACATGAGCTATGCAGACAGCTGTGGCAGGAACACGTGAGCTTGAGGACAGCTTGGCAAAACACTGGCTCAAAAATAAATAAGTGGGAGCTGAGAGATGGCTCATGGGTTAAAACCATGGGCTGCCTTTCCAGAGAATCCAGGTTTGTTCCCAGAACCCACATGGAGGCTCCCTACTCTGTGACTATAGCTTTGGGGATCTGACGCCTTTTTCTGGCCTCAGCAGGCAAGCAGACATTCATGTGGAACACATAAACACAGGCACTCACACACATAAAGTAAGTAAGTAACTGGAAGCATAGAAAGTATGCCACCCTGTTTCTCCTATAGTGGCATTCAAGAGTAAACACCTCATCTATCACCAGCAACAGCCACAGATATGGTCCAAGGCAGAACATCACTGAATCAGGGAAACTGGAGATGAAATCGTCTCAGTTCTAAGGTGCAAGATTACTCTATGAATATTTCTAGATTGTCATTTACTTTTAAAACAAGCTAGGAGGAAAGAATTCCAGAGCTCCTCCTACTGTACTACCACTGCAAAGAAGCAGTGCGGGCAAAGTGCTCGTGTGTGAGTGAGTGGTTAACGGGAAACATTTCCTGTACTCACTTGGACACATTGCCGACTACTATTGTCTTCTTGACAAACAGTCGGGAGGTCTCGTCTCCTGTGAGGTCAGCATTCCGTCGTTCCCGTTTGTGGGAGCCACTGATACTAGACGTGTCCTGAAAGAAATGACATCCACATCTGTGCTCATTAAACAATATTCAGAGGGGTGCTGACATAATGAGAGGACAAATTAAGTAACTCAGAATTTTTATCTTTCAGAGAACAGGGTCTTCTACAACCCAGCAGGCCTGGGACTCGCTATGTAGCTCTCATCTGCTCTCCTGAGTGCTGAGATTGTGGGCATGGGCCACAACACCTGGCAGCATGGTTGGTATTTTGGTGTTGATGTCTAGTTTATATTGTATTTATAACTGTTTTGCTTGCATGTGTGTTGCCTAGTGTCCACTGAGGCCCCAAGAGATTGTCGATTGCTAGGAACTAAAGTTACAACGACTGTGAGCTGCCATGTGGATACTGGGAAACAAACTCAGGTCCTCTGGAAGAATACCACTGAGCCATCCCTCCAGCCTATTTTCCTTTTTTAAAGAAAGAGCTGGGCATAGCTGCGCATGCCTTTAAATCCAGCACTTGGGAGGCAGAGGCAGGTAGATCTTCGAGTTCTGAGGACAGCCTGGTCTACAAAGAGTGTTTCCAGGACAGTCTGGGCTACAAAGAATCCCTGTCTCAAAAAACACCACCACCAACAATAAGATATTAGTGAGTCTAGGGCTGTAGTAGTTGGTAGAGAGCTTCTCTGGCCTGTGCCAAGCCTTGGGTTCAGGCTCCAACACCATCTATTCCAGTATGAGGCGGCACGTGCCTGTAATCCCAGCTTAAAAGGCGGCAGTAAGAGAAAGAGTACTGATCAAACACAAGTAAAGCTAAATATTCAGAGTCCTGATTATGAGTTGTCAAAGTATGGGTTAATTTTAAACAGGCTTTCCTGTTTTAATTTTCCAACGATAGACAGGTTAATTTATAATAAAAAATAACAATCTGTTTTTATGAACATTAAATCAAACACTGATGCCTGAATGTATGGAAAGCTACTTGGAAGTTCAGTTTATCACAGAAGCTGTAGCTGTGACATCACTGGTCTAACTTGATAGTGACTCTATACATAAATACCAACACCAAGTAAGCCAGGTACTGTGTAGCTTCAAGATAGGCACACACACTATCATAGCTGGGCACAGTGATCCCAGCACTAGGGAGGCAGAGGTAGGGTGATCACTACAAGTTCCCGACCAACCTGGTGTATGTAATCAGTGCCTGGCTGGCCGGGGCCTCATAGCAAAACTGGGTCAAGAGAAGAATTGTGTATTTGTTTTTTGTATGTCAAATTATAGGAGTTACTACTACTTGGACCTTCAGCAAGATCACGGAACTACCATCTTAGGGGTTCCTTCCCATCTTTGTGAATGGCATCCAAGAGCTATGTTGCACTCTGGAGTGCTATGCTCTAAAATACACACACACACACACACACACACACACACTCCACAATGGCAGAGCTTTAACTGTTAGTTGTGATAACTGCTAATACTCAGTGTTGCTGGCTACGATGCTTCACACCTGTAACCCAACACTCAGGAGACCAAGGAAGGAGGACTCTGCTAATTTGAGACCAGCCTGGCTATAGTGCAAGAAGACACCCCCCCCCCAAAAAAAAAAAAAGCTTCAGCTTCTTAGTTAGACCTATACAATGGTTCAATCCTATAACATCACCACTTGGGAACTGTAGCAAGAGACAAATCAAGTTTTAGACTAGCCTGGTCAACCCCAGACTGAAACCCTATCTCAAAGAAGCAAAAGTCTTTTTCTCTGCTGTAAAAATCAAACTACTTTTGTTCTAGCCACATTTAAAAAATAGCAGGTCTATTTGCCCCTGGAGCCTCTACCCTTCCAGTATTCCGGCTTGGTCTCTGCTCCCCGGTGCTTGAGAGTCTTTCCTCCATATCCACGTTGCTGTTATTGTCTTTGTCAGACAGGAAGTCATTGTGCTGAGATAAAGAGTCACTTTCAGAGTGATTGGCAGACGGGGTTTCTGATCTCTGATTGGTAGGAGATGATGACCTAGATGGTGATTCCAAAAATTTCTTGATAGCAGGGTGGTTAAAAGCCATTGGATCAAATGTCTTTAATCCCTAGAAAAACAAAAGAAGCAAACTCAATCAAACCCACTAAAACTGATGAGAACCTACTAAAACTCCTGAAACTCCTATGTTAAGATCAGGTTAACAATCTTTCAAAAATCTCTCCACATCCTGGATTAAGAGATGGCTCAGCTAGTAAAGGCTAGGCTCACAACCAAAAATAAAAGAAAAAGAAAAAAAAAATCTCTCTATATCTGTACATTCTTATACCTAGCCTGTATTAATGAAATAAAAACTAGAGTGACAAGTAATTGTGTAAAATTTCTAATTCTAAAAGTCAAAAATGAGCCAGGTGTGGTAGGGGCACATGCCTGTGAATCCATCACTCAGGAAACTAAGGCAGGAGAATCTGAATCTCTGGACCACCCTGGGCTACATTTGAAAACACAAAATAAGGGCTTTTTGTAGCTTAGCTGACTGTCTAGCATGCATGACGTCAGTAGCACACGTATGCAGCTTAGCAGAACAAGTCTGTAATCCTGGCATCCAGAAGGTAGAAGCAGGAAGGCCAGGAGCTCAAGGTAAGTGTCACTATTCCCAGCAAAACTGATTTTAAAAGGACACACAATTAGGCATTGTGGCTCATACCTACAATCCCAAGATCTTTGGAATCTAAATAATTAAGTAAGTAAATTAATCTTTAGTTCCAGGTCAGCCTGGATTATATAGTCACAAAACAAACAATGAAAGTACACAGTATAAAAAAATGAAACCCACACTAGAGTTAAAAAACAACAGAAGCAGAAGCTTTAAAATCAGCAATGTAGAGCATTCCTTCAGGCTAGTTCAGGGGCCTAAGTTCAGTTGTTTTTAAAGAGGTGTCATTGGGTCTTCTAGCATTCATGTCACGAACTCACAACTTCAACCCCAGCTCCAAGGAAATGGATCAGAAGGACACCTCTGGCCCCCATTGCCCACTGGTATCTGCACTCATGTGTACATACCCAGACACAAACACATATGATTTAAAAAATAAAATAATACACATACACACAAACAAAACAAAACAAAAACAAACAAAAAACCACCTGTATCACTGGCTGGGCATGGTAATACTATCTGTAATCCCAGTACTTAGGAGGCAGGCAGAGACAGGGGGATTGCAGCTGCTAAAACAATAGGAGTTACACTGCAAGATGTCATCCCAACACACACAGGAGCATGTGCACACACACACGCGCGCGCGCGCGCGCGCGCGTGCGCACACACACGGTGGGGGGTGTGTGTGACAGAGACAGAGCTATTAATCAAAACAAAAGCCATGGTCTGGGTGAAGAGACTAATGTTTTGAAATAAAATATACAGCTGATTAATTCAGTAACAGCACACTTCCGTACTGTGTGTTCTCCAAACTAAAATAACTAAATGGCTATCTAAAACAACGACTAGCTAAAGATTTCTTGAATGTTTTTTAAAATTTTTAAGGATTTTATCTGTATGAGTGTTTTGCTTGTATGCACACATGTGCAACATGTGAATACCAAATACCCGCAAAAGGCAAAAGGTGGTGTTGGATCTCCTGAAAGTAAAGTTACTAATAGTTGCTATCCACCATGTAGATGCTGGGAACTGAACTCAAGTAAACCCAACTACTGAGCCATATCTCCAGCCCTTAGTAAATCTTAATCAGAACATCAAGAGCTAAAATTGGTACATTTCTAGACAACCAAACAGCACAGATCCCAGTGGTAAATCAACAAAACACTAACCAGTTTTTCATGTTGAGTACCTACTTGCAGTCTCCTTAGCTCATGCAAACGCAGCTCACGATGTCCACTGTGCTGAGCCAATATTGAGCTATTTAATCAAGGATGCCAGAATTGTAGAAAGTACAATTTCCACAAATTCATGACCACCCAGAATCTGTAGCTTTATTCAGAACTAGCCTAAGGGGCTGTCTAAGTTACTGAATATACCTATCATATGTGAGAGCCTGGGGCCAACTACAGGCACAAGCAAACACACAGAGAACAGAAGGGGGTTAAAAGACGGGTCTTTGTAGATGTCGTCAATTTAAAATGAAGTCATACTAGACTGAGGTCAATCCTCGCCCAAGACGAACATCCTCAAAGGAACTTTAGATGCAGAGAAATGCTGGGATAATACCTACGCATAATGCTTTATTTGGTTTTTGTTTGTTTTGTTTTACCTTACTGACTATTTACTTGTATTTTTAAGTCTCTGACTTTGTGTTTTTACAGGTATTATATATGTGTGCCTTTCACGGGCACTCGGGTTAATACACAGCTGCCAGGAAAAAGAGGAAAAGAGTAAAAGTTTTATAGTGAGCACTGAAATGCTATAATGTCTAAGAACTTAATTTTAAATGCTTTAGAGGAAAGAAAACAATAGAATTTTAAACTGATGAATCTGCATGGTATGTAAACATGTTTGTCCTTTTCTTATACTGAAAATTATCATTATGAAGTAGCATTTAAAAGAACAAGGCATGCTGGGTAAGGCAAAACAAAAGAGGAAGAACTAGGAGGAGTTGCAGTGAGGTCTTCCTGCTAGTAATACACTAGCAATCAGTAGAGAAAGGACAGGATCATGTTAGTCACATTGCCTGAAGATCTATGTCCCTCAGAAAGGTGGCCAGGCTTATTAAATTCTAAAGGCCAATATAAGAAATGTCTCAATGGTAGGGAATTCACACTGCCCCAACTTCCCCCCCAGACAAAGAAAATGGTGGCTGAGAATCGACTGGAATACGAGGACCACTTACCTCAGAAACTTTCAGGAGGCCAGCTGAAGCATAATAGTTTGCTACAATGCAGGCTCGGAGCTTATCCATCATCCTTCTGGCCTCAATCAGTCGCTAAAAACAAGTGAGAGTTTAAATGTTGTTTAAATAGACAAATAACAATAAGGATTTAAAATCCACAGAATAAACACAAACCACAAAAGCATGAACTCAGCTTCTTGAATTGCTTCAACAAATAAATACTTCACACGGAATTAAACTGGCAAAGATACAGGCTGCAGATGCACTTTATGTGTATAAGCAATGCCCTGGAGTCTATGTTTTTACCCAAAAGCAGACTGAGGATGGAGGCAGTGTGTGTGCTTCCCTGATTAGAAAAGTCTTAAAAATTCCAAATACACTGAGCCTGATGGCATAAACCTTTGATTCCAGAACTTGGGAGGCAGAACCAGGCAGGCAGATCTCTTGAATTCAAGATCAGCCATGTCTATAGACTGAGTTCTAGGACAGCCAAGACTACACAGAGAAACCCTGTCTCAAAAAAACAAAAACAAACAAACAAACAAACAAAAACAAAAAACAAACAAACCAGGGGCTGGAGAGATGGCTCAGAGGTTAAGAGCACTGGTTGCTCTTCCAGAGGTCCTGAGTTCAATTTCTAACAACCACATGGTGGCTCACAACCATCTGTAATGGGATCTGGTGCCCTCTTCTGGCCTATATACAGGCAGAAGAACACTATACACTTGGGAGGCAGAGGCAGGCGGATTTCTCAGTTCGAGGCCAGCCTGGTCTACAGAGTGAGTTCCAGGACAGCCAGGGGTACACAGAGAAACCCTGTCTCAAAAAAAACAAAAAAAAACAAAAAAAAAAAAAAAAAAAAAAAAAAAAAGAAAAGAAACCTACAAATAAAACAAACAAAAACAAAATATACCGAGCATATTTACTAACTAAGAAATAACTATAGTATAATAAGAACAATACCAAAAAGGATTATCTTTGGGGATGGAAGTTCAAATAGAACTTTTTATCTTATCTCCAACTTTACTTATTTTGGTTTGTTTGAGACAAAGATTCACGTGTCCCAGGCTGGCTTCAAATACACTACGTAGCTGAGGATGACCTTAAATGTCTGGTTCCTCGGTCTCTACCTCCCAAGTACTGGGATTATAGATGTGTGCCCATCCCAGCAGAATAATTTTTTGTTTTTGTTTTGAGAGAGTGCCTCATTCTGTAGCCTTGGCTGCCTGAAGGTCATTATAAAGACCAAAATGTCTTAGAATTCACAGAGGTCCATCTGTCTGGTCCTCTGGAATGCTGAGATTGAAGATGTGTGACACCATGCCCAACACTGGAAATTTTTTTTTAAATAAACCTCATCAAATAGTATACTTTCCCTCCATAAGTTTAGTGTTTTCAATTCATCATTATTATACCTGGTCAATGACATCAATCTCATGTTCCTTATTCTTCATCTCAAGAGCAAACTGTTCCTTAATAATAGTCTCAATTTTCTGCACAGCTGCATCTCGAGCTACAGAAAGAACACAAAACATAAAACATACCAGATTAATCAGTATCTATTGATTTAAATCCGCAGCCAAAGAAACCATCCTGCCCCACATCATTAAAAAAAAAAAAGCCCCAAAGCCCAGAAACTGCTTTGGGTTCATGACACAACAGCCTAAACAAGTACACAGAAATATAAAACTATATAATCTGTTCTTAAATAGTTCAGAAAGAAAAATATTTTTTCATCTGCATGAAACTGTCAGATGGAGGAGAAAAAAGCAAGGTAATAACAAAATACAGTGTGATAGATAGATGGATAGACAGGTCATAAATATAGTTAATAAAAATATCTTTTGTGTGTGTGTGTATGTGTATTCACGCACATGAATATGTAGATATCTGTGGAGGCCGGAAGAGGGTGTCAGATAGTCTGGAGCTGGATTTACTGGAGGCTGTGTTTCCCAGTAACTGCTGGGAACTGAACAGCAAAGACTCTTAACTGCTGACTCTGAGCCATCTATCCAGCCTCAAATATATATCATTTTATGTTAGTTTAAAAAATAAGAAAGATAAACCATAAGTCAAAATGTTAATGTAATCAATGATTTACTTTTCAACAGATTACATAATGGTGAAATATCAATGAACCTTAAGCCCCCACTAGCAGCTACAAGCAGGATTAGTAGCACTAGATCAATGTTTTCTAAATTTCCATTACTCACGGATGACCTTCAAGACTGTTATCACATCTGGCATGTCCCCAAACGTTCATGTGCTAGAAGCTTGGTTCCATCTGACCATGCTATTGGGAGGTCTTAGGTGTGTGATCTAGTACCTAGCTGGAGGAAGCCCATGCCTTTGAAAGACACACACACACACACACACACACACACACACCTGTTTTTCAATAAGGGGTTTTCTGTGCAGCTCCAGTTGTCCTGGAACTTGCTCTATAGACCAGGCTGGCCTCGAACTCAGAGATCCACTGCCCCTGAGATTAAAGGTGCTCAGACTACCACCCAGCTGAAGGATACACCTTATCTAAGCCCCCATGGCTCATTCTTTCTCCTTCACCTTCTGAACTCTTGTATCATGAACAGCCTCATTACTGTAAGAATGATTGCCTGATATTCTCCCTCACCTCAGGCCTAGGAGCAACGGAACTAGCCAACCTCTGAAAGCATGAGTCAACAGAAACCTTTCCTCCTTTGACATTTGCTAGCTAACATTTCAAGTGAAATGTTTAATGAGCACAATTGATACTTTAAAGTAATGCTATCCTATTTAAGCACCAGTATCCATGAAAGAACCTGATCATTCTTATTTCTACATACATGAAAATAATACAAAGCTCTATGCAAAACCTTTATCATGTACAATCACCTCACATGGTCATTCCATATTAGAGACATCAAAAAACTTTGATTTTATATTATTATTTTTAAAGATTTATTTCAGTTTTAATTATATGTTTATGTGTGTGAGTGCAGATGCCCATGGAGGCCAAAGAAGGCATCTACTTCCCTAGCGCTGTAGTTACAGGTTTTTGTGACCTACCTGACTAGATGCTGGAACTAAACTGGGATCCTCTGCAAGAACACTGAACTTGGGAGCGAGAGTGAGGGCTCAGCTGTCGGGAGCACTGACTACTCTTGCAGAAGAAATAAGTTTGGTTCCTAACACTCACACTGGAACTAACAATCTCTTGCAACTCCAGTTTCAGGGGCTTCAAGAGCCTCTTTTGGTCTACGAAGGAAATACATGTGTGCGGTGCATAAACATATATGCAGGCAGGCAAAACATACACATAAAACTACAAAAAAAGAAAAAAAAAGGCTAGTTGATAACAGCATATACCTTTAATCCCAGCTCTCAGGAGTTCAAGGCCAGCCTGGTCTACAGAGTGAGTTCCAGGACAGCCAAGGCTACACAGAGAAACCCTGTCTCCAAAAAAAAAAAAAAGAGGTCTGGTGTTCACAAACAGAACATAATGGCAGATACCTTTAATCCCACACCCAAGAGGCAGAGGCAGAGGCAGAGGCAGAGGCAGAGGCAGAGGCAGAGGCAGAGGCAGAGGCAGAGGCAGAGGCAGAGGCAGAGGCAG